CAAATAACTGTAGAAAATATACATAACTGAAAATATGGACCTTCAAAAATCGGGCAATACAACTAACTGTAGAAAATATACATAACTGAAAATATGGACCTTCAAAAAATAGGGCAATACAAATAACTGTAGAAAAAATATATAACTGAAAATATGGACATTCAAAAATCAGTCCATACAAATAACTGTAGAAAAATAAACAGAACTGAAAATATGGACCTTCAAAAATCGGCCCATACAACTAACTGTATAGCAAACAGAACTGAAAATGTGGATCTCCAAAAAATCGGGCAATACAACTAACTGTAGAAAAAATATATAACTGAAAATATGGATCTTCAAAAATCGGCCCATACAACTAACTGTATAGCAAACAGAACTGAAAATGTGGATCTCCAAAAAATCGGGCAATACAACTAACTGTAGAAAAAATATATAACTGAAAATATGGACCTTCAAAAATCGGGGATTACAACTAACTGTATAGCAAACAGAACTGAAAATATGGATCTCCAAAAAATCGGGCAATGCAACTAACTATAGAAAATAAACAGAACTGAAAATATGGACCTTCAAAAATCGGGCAATACAATTAACTGTAGAAAATAAACAGAACTAAAAATATGGACCTTCAAAAATCGGGCAATACAAATAACTGTAGAAAATAAACAGAACTAAAAATATGGACCTTCAAAAATCGGGCAATGCAACTAACTGTATATAAAACAGAACTGAAAATATGGATCTCCAAAAAATTGGGCAATGCAACTAACTGTAGTAAAAATAAACAGAAGTGAAAATACGGACCTTCAAAAATCTGGCAATACAATTAACTGTAGAAAATAAACATAACTGAAAATATGGACCTTCAAAAATCGGCCAATACAACTAACTGTATAGCAAACAGAACTGAAAATATGGATCCCCAAAAAATCGGGCAATGCAACTAACTGTAGAAATAAACAGCACTGAAAACAAAAAATAGAATGCGGAAGTTTTTTTTTTGTCTATAACCATAGTTAATTTCTTTCGTCTGTATCCATGGTTATTTTATTTGCCAACAACTACATATGATAATTTTTGTCTGTAACCATAGTTTTTTGTTTGACAGCAACGATATTGCATCTTTGTTTTTAATCATACTGGCTATTTTTTTATTAGCAACTATATTGTTTCTTTTGTCAGTAACCATGGTGTTTTTTTTCCTATAACAATACTGGTCTTTTATCAGTGACCATGCTATATATTTTTTTACCAGTAACAATGCTATATTTTTTGCCAGTACCCATGTTTTTTTTTCCTATAACAATACTGGTTTTTTATCAGTGACCATGCTATATTTTTGCCGGTATCCATGGCTACATTTTTTTTATCAAATGCAGGCTGCTTTTAAAATACAGTTAAGACATCAGATCGGCTGAGCAGAATATTATTAGAAAACACAGCTATTCAGTAACCCGTGAGGGTAACGAATAACCTTATATAATTGAACACTGATGTGACCATACCATCACCCATTCCGTACAACCGTCCTACAGTATGGAGGAGGAATTATTCGTTTTAATTTAACTACGTTGTAAATAACTGAATAAATCAACAAATTATTAAATAACCACGAATTTGATCTTGTATAGGGGGGGGGGGGGAAAGAGGTGATAAGCGCGAGCGCACGTTTATCTGTAAGGTGTCATTTCATACGTCTGTTTATCTGCCTCCATTCCTATCCGTCGCCCCCTAGTGGCACAGCGGTATCTCTGCGAACTTACAACGCTAGAATTCGGGTTTCGATACCCGTGGTGGGCAGAGCGCAGATAGCCCATTGTGTAGCTTTGTGCTTAATTCCAAACAAATCATATCCGTCAGTTTTCCTTTCTGTCTGCTTATGCATGTATCTGTATGCCAGTGTCTATTTTTTAATATTCACGTGGATATTTAAGCTTTAACTCTCTTTCCATATAAAAAAAGAAAGTGTCAATAAAATAGAAAAAAAAACGAACAGAAATAATTTTCATTGAACAAGTAGGCTACTCTTATTCGACCAAATATCAGGATTTGACCATTACACTTAGGGTGCTTCTACGGCTCCAAAGCGCGGAGAGCGTTTTAGTGGAAATTGGCTAGTGAATCCTGAACCCTCGGATTCATAATCCGCGCATGCTACTACTACTACTACTACTAGGCATAGTCCTAGTCCTAACGTGCAGAATTGTGGGTGATCATTTTAGCGTTTTAAAGACGCCATTTTCATGATTTTTATAATTTAGCTTTAAGAAGCTACGTTTGTTTGTTTGTTGAATGTTGCACAAAGCTACACGAGGGCTATCTGCGCTAGCCGTCTCTAATTTCAAGGTAGTAAACTATAGGAAAGGCAGCTAGTCAACAACTCCTCAACGCTAATTCGTGGGCTACTCTTATGGAATAGTTGGATCTGACTGTCACTTTTATAGAGCACCCACAGCCCCGAAGTGCAGAACGTGACTTTGTTGTTCGTTAACGGATCACGAGCCATGGAACTTCGGATTCATGATTCGGCATACTAACAACTGGGCCACACTCGGTCTACGAAGTAGTGTACGATTAAGTACATTGCGTATTCTTTTCTTTTAAGTAACACATTTGTCTTTCCCAGCTTGGACTTTAATTTATTTGTTTACATTTTTTTTTAGAGGTCCGTTTTCTAAGCAGAATGCGAAAGTATGCTTTAGGCCTAGTATATTAAACTGCCATTTCTAGCAACAGACACGAGAACAAGAGACACTGTATAGTTGTGAAAAAGGTTACATTCTATTGAGTAGTTCAGTTACCGGCGTTTGGTTGCGGTCAAAATAAATTTATTGAAGCGTATTTCCTCCACCAGGTGTCCTAAACTACTTCCGGTTATCGCATGGAAAGCCAAACACGTGCATAAAACTGAGTATGAAAATGTTGACAAAATCGTGAATTTTAATTATAATAATGAAATTAAAAAATATATATTAACACTTCATATTGTTTTCTGATTCAAAACTGTATAGAACATAGAATTTCCTATGTAAAACATCCCATAGTGATATTTAATCGTGTGCTTTACTATTTTGAAACCTGTGAAGATTATAATGAGATGTTTTGAGCATGCGTGGAAATTAGAAATCACTTGCTTTCAAGTCAGTTTTAGGGATAAGAAATATTTCCGCTAATTATATGTTACATATGTGTTTTCTTTTCCAGCAATGGTAGAATTTAAAATATCACTGTTTCTTGTAACTGTCGCCTGATTTTGTTTCTCATACATCTTATGAGCCATACTTTGTACGAATGGAATTTCAAACTTCCTATCGTATGCAATTTAATGCTGCGACAAATTGACTGTATTTCTGTCATATTTATCCTCAAGAGTCGGTGAACGAATGGAAATTCAATTCCTCAAT